GTTTTCCCTAGAAAATAATGCCATCAAACAAGCCAAATCCATGGAAATGGAAATCATTTTCCATTTTCCAAGGAAAATTTGGCAAATCAAACACAGCCTTAGTGTAAATTATATTTTGACACTTCTTGTTTATACCACTATATGAAGGGACATGTTTGTGTTTATATATATGTTTCCATTTGAAATTGTGAGGAATATGTAAAAAGTGAGTTGACATTTGCTTGTTTCTCCTCTTCGATAGCTGTTCAAATGTAACCAGTCTTATGTGACTAGATAGACATGTAAGTCTCTCATTTCTTTTTCTTTTTAATACCCAGGTATCCCAGTTTACACCAGACTATGTCATGAACCATCCATCTCCAGCCCCTCATCAATAGGTGGAAGTTAAATCGCGGTATATGTCCAAGTTGACCAGGATTCGTGCACCCTTTATACTCCTGGCCCCAAGAGAGTCTTTCTCCATGGATATTACATCACTAAATTGCTCCACCCATAATTGAGTATTACATCACTCAATTGCTCTATCCAAGAATCGAACTCCCCACGCTAAGGTTGGAAGCCCAGCAATGCCCGTCCTTTGCCAACTCGGATGTGCCCCGAGGGGCTGTAAATCTCTCATTTTTTTCTCGTTGATGGAGCTGCAAAATTTTGACGTGAATATGAACGCAAACTAAATTATATGAATTAATATATGTTGAGAAAAATTTAAAATGCGTATAACTCGAAAAAGTGAGAAGGGCAGGAAATTTTAAACCGGAAAGATGATCTCTCTCCACGTCAAAGCAAAGACGATAAGGTTACTAGAAATTAGAGGAATTTGGATTCTAAAAATTAGATTTAAAATAATTTATTCGAATTATCGACATCCGTGAAATATAAAATGAAATATTAATAATAATTTAACTTACTTTTTATAATAAATATCTAGAGCCCGTTTGGTACACATTAAAATGAGAGAATGCATTTTTTTGAAAGGATGTGATGGAGAATATGTGGTTGAAAAAGAAGGAAAAGTTATTGATGTGATGGAAAATATTATTTTATTGAATAATGTGTGGCTCAAAATGAGTAGAAGAATGAGAATGAAAAAAATAATATGGCCCAAACNGTGGGTGGAGGTTAACCAAAGGATATGCCTAAATTCACCAGGGTCTGTGCACCCTTTATACTCCTAACCCCAAGAGAGCCTTCCTCCATGGATATTACATCACTAAATTGCTCCACCCATAATTGAGTATTACATCACTCAACTGCTCTATCCAGGAATCGAACTCCCCACGCTAAGGTTGGAAGCCCAGCAATGCCCGTCCTTTGCCAACTCGGATGTGCCCCGGGGGGCTGTAAGTCTCTCATTTTTTTCTCGTTGATGGAGCTGCAAAATTTTGACATGAATATGAATGCAAACTAAATTATATGAATTAATATATGTTGAGAAAAATTTAAAATGCGTATAACTCGAAAAAGTGAGAAGGGGAGGAAATTTTAAACCGGAAAGATGATCTCTCTCCACGTCAAAGCAAAGACGATAAGGTTACTAGAAATTAGAGGAATTTTGATTCTAAAAATTAGATTTAAAATAATTTATTCGAATTATTGAGATCCGTGAAATATAAAATGAAATATTAATAATAATTTAACTTACTTTTTATAATAAATATCTAGAGCCCGTTTGGTACACATTAACATGAGAGAATGCATTTTTTTGAAGTGATGTGATGGAGAATATGTGATTGAAAAAGAAGGAAAAGTTATTGATGTGATGGAAAATATTATTTTATTGAATAATGTGTGGCTCAAAATGAGTAG